ATGTATGAGATTAATATTTACATACATCACCACATTCCTGTTGCAAACACGTGTTTTTTTTAAAAGTGCATAGTCTTATATAATCTGCTGCAATTAAATCTCTCTCTGATTCACATTACAACATGTCTGCTGGGGGGTGAACGTCAAAAAAAAAAAAAAAAAACAGAAGGCGTTATCTACGTTAGGGGGTATCTGATCATCACATCCAATCTACAAAATAATTGCCAGAATGCCAATCACGGATATTTCCACCAAAAAAAAAAAAAAAAGAGATATCCCTGGGAGCCAAATACCTGTTAAACCAAAGATATAAAAACGACACTCTTCGCTGACGGCATAGAGGTTGGCTCCAATACTTCGGCACCGTCACACGACCGCTGAACTATCAAAGGCCTCACCGGTGTCGATTTCAACCCTGAAGAAAATCGTTTGCCTCCCCCCCTCCAACTCCACTTCGCTTCACTAATCTGCTCCAAACCTATCTCCTGATCTGTGACCTCAGACAACCAACCCAAGAAATTGTAGTTTTTCGTGGGAAGGACTACAAAATTTTTCTCTCCCTTGCTTCTGTATTTGGTTTTATTATTTTAGGTTTGAGTTTTTCCTGTTCTAGTATTTCTTTTTAAAAAAATCACTCCATCCTCGGGTCCTTGTTGTAGCAATCGTTGGACGAGGGTTTTGTGTTTTCTTTGTATATTTCTTGTAGAGGATTCTATTTAAACATGTTTTTCCTTTGTTTATAGCTTCCACCATCGCTTGTGCTTCAAGGAAAAGGAATGTTTCTTGTATATTTTACACATAGAATTTCATTTTCATTTTTCACAGATTCTTGTATATACTGAGTGATCTCCATTTTGTACATCTGTATAACTTTGGGCATTCATCTCTGGAGGGGGTCAGGTTCTTTCTCTCTGCATTTTCCACATATACTTTTTCTCCTTGACATTTCTCCACATCGTTCCCATATTATTGACACTTGTAACACACAAGAGGGTTTGAAACAAATTGCTCTACCCTATCTATTGTCAAACGTCATTATATAAGGATTTGTGGCTATCATTTGGATTTTTTTACTTAGATGTTATTTTTAGTGGATACTCGTATTTGAGTAGACGTTCCGTTTATTTATTAAACTGCATATTTATTTATTCATTTTCATCTCCCGGCCTGACTATTCGAGAAATCTTATTTTGTTCTCCAGTAGGATTCGAATCTGCGTTCTCCTCGAGGAAATCATCATCTGATATACTTTGGATCTCTCGGCCATGGAGTACGTCGATGGTCAAGCAAAGTTGAATAGTGCCTTTAAACACAGATTTTTCTCTGACTCTCGAAATAGACAGTTTCGTATCCTGACGAAAACAAAAAATATGCGCTCTCTTGCAGGAGGGCTCGAACCTGCGTTCCCTGTAAGGAAATAATCATCTGATATGCTTTGGATCTCTCGGCCATGGAGTACATCGATGGGCAGGCAAAGTTGAATAGTGCTTTTAAACACAGATTTTTTTATGACAGTTTCTTATTCTGACGAAAACAAAGCAATTTGTAAAGAAAAGGATGGATTTTTTTATTTATTAATCCGACAGATGTTATTACTTAGACACTAGTTTTAGTAGATATTAGTATTTGAATTAGTTTTAGTAGATACTAGTATTTGAATTAGTTTTAGTAAATACTAGTATTTGAATTAGTTTTAGTAGATATTAGTATTTGAATTAGTTTTAGTGGATACTAGTATTTGAATTAGTTTTAGTAGATACTAGTATTGGAATTAGTTTTAGTAGCTATTAGTATTTGAATTAGTTTTAGTAGATATTAGTATTAGAATTAGTTTTAGTAGATACTAGTATTTGAATTAGTTTTAGTAGATATTAGTATTTGAATTAGCTTTAGTAGATATTAGTGTTTGAATTAGTTTTAGTAGATATTAGTGTTTGAATTAGTTTTAGTAGCTCTTAGTATTTGAATTAGTTTTAGTACATACTAGTATTTGAATTAGTTTCAGTACATACTAGTACTGGAATTAGTTTTAGTAGATACTAGTATTTGAATTAGTTTTAGTAGATATTAGTATTTGAATTAGTTTTAGTAGCTATTAGTATTTGAATTAGTTTTAGTAGATACTAGTATTTGAATTAGTTTTAGTAGATATTAGTGTTAGAATTAGTTTTAATAGATACTAGTATTTGAATTAGTTTTAGTAGATGTTAGTATTTGAATTAGTTTTAGTAGCTATTAGTATTTGAGTAGACGCTTCATTTATTTATTAAACAGTGTATAATTTTTTTTTATTTTCGTCTACCGGCCTTAATATTCAAGAAATTTTATTAGACACAAATAATGCGCTCTCCGGCAAGTTCTTTTTAATTGACACTTTTCTAACATCAACCTTATGTTGATTTTTCAATTTGGTTTTTATCTCCATTTTACAGAGGGGGCGGGGGGTGAGGAATTTTGTTTTAATCCCCCCCCGATGTATTCGACTTTTTTTTTTTAATAATGTATTTTTTTATGTATTTTTTTTTTTTGTTCATGGATTATTTTCGTTAAAATATCTGCATATATTTCTTTAAAATCTCCACTAAGATTTTCCCATTTTTTTTTTTTTTTGTGTTCTGTTAGAAGAAATGACTTTTTGTGTTTGGATAGAGGGTAATTTGGTCAATGGTATCTCATCTTCTAATTGCAAGACGATAAAACTTGGAAATTTCTCTTTTTTTTCTGTTCTGTCTCTGTGTCAGTCTCTATGTCGTCTCTTGGTTGCTTTGTTAGCCATTGTTTTTTTTTTTTTTTTTTTTAAATCTTTGCTTGTCTACGCACCTCGCAGTTCAATTCACTAGGAAATATGAAGAGGCAAAATCCATTCACTTTCATGAAACTGACATACACAAATGGTAGACTAATATTTGAAGGAGGCTACAAGCACCTGTTTTTCCTTTCGCTTCACCCCCCCCCTACTAAATATTGAAACAAGTGGAGATGTACAGCCATGTTGCAACCCGTTTCCTCCAAATCATTTGACCCTACAACCACTGTCGTCTAATTCTGAGTTTTTAAAATGTCTTTTGTGTTATATGTATGTGAGGAGTGTAATGTTGTAACTCTGCTCTCTGAATTAGGGCATCGGTGTGACCAACCGATTGATCAGATCTGGCACTTTCAAACACCCGTATGATCCAAGTAAGTGATGAAGTGAAGCATTGCACTACGCATGCTCACATATTCGTCCAGATTGTGTAAAATTCAGCCACAAGGATCTAATATTCAGGCATCACAGGTCACCATCATTGGCAAAATATGCACTCATTGGGTGGGGCCTTATCCCTCCAGAGGTGCAGTCAGCATTCTTCATAGGCTCAGCAGACATGTCAGGACTCTTTTAGTCTCTTTCATAAATCACCTGCCATTTAAAATAGCCAAATATCAAAACAATTTGCTGAGAATTAGGATCTCAGCAGTTTGTTCCATTCGTTTATGTCCAAAATCAATCATCCTGAGACAGACTACCAATGTCACTGATTAAAATCAAAACAAAACCAAACCAAATCTTTTAGTTATTCTCTTTATACAGGATAGGGTGGTGGAAATTGAATCCTTCCCTTAAAAGAAATGTTTCTAATTAATACAAGATGTAATAAGTGTTTCATTAAATGCTTTCTTTCTCTCTACCATGTCCCATATCTGTAATGCTGCTGCGCCATTACTCATGATCTCTAGTGATATGATTTTCAGCCGTTTCAATCCAATAGAATTTAAGACAACACCAAATTATTTAAATATAATCAACCACGATTACTATTGGTTTGCCGCAGTGAATGGTGTCAGCTGAAGTGTGTGTGTGCTATGGAGTGGAGATTCATGAACAACCTCAAATAATTCACAGATAAGTCATTCATGTTCAAAGATTTTTCTACTTCTTACGTCTTCTTCTCCAAACCTTCAGGTCCTACGGCGAAGGGTCGGAAGTAACAGGTGTAGGGTGTGAAAGCCTTTAGTCTCCAAATTGCATGTAGGCGATAGGTGTGTGATGACCGCATTTCGAAGAAGGGACGGCGACTCTGATATGATGTCCTGCTTTGTAGCTGAGCAGGCCTATTTTAGGAATTCGCACTCTCCACCCCAATCGCAAAGTATGGCGCCAGATTTTCACCTTTCCGAAAAGGTCGTCTTTCTCTTTGAGGGAGAGGCGCCATTTTCTCTCCAGTTCGGACGCCGCCGATCTCATATTTTCGCACAGCTCTCCCAACTTGAACCATGCCTCTTCCACGAAGGCCTCAAAATTCAGAGTGAGTTTTGAGCATTCGGAATCGCAATCTGTTGACAGTTGCTCAATGGAATCACCTCGTCCGCTCGTTTGTCGCCCGGATGTGGATTTCGAACTGGCGGAGTATCCGCTCCAGGGTAGGGCCACCCTCCTCCATCCCTGCGGACACTGCAGGGAGGCGCTCCCGTGATCCTTGTAACATGTTGCACCGCTCGCAGAGGGCATCTTTCGATTGGCGGTACCGTCGACAGTCATGATGACCCGGGTGGCCACCACCTTCGACACGCCCGATAAGTCTTGTGGAATCTCTCGCAGGTCTGGCAAAAGAGTTTCTCGCATTCCTGACACCAAATCTGGCCGGACGATTCCATGCCGTCTTCAAAGCAACAGTCGCAATTCCACTCTCTGGATTCCAGCTGACGGCGCCTCAAAGACTTCACCAAAAATGGTGCCAGTCTCAATTCGTCACCTGTCACAGACTGTAGGCACTGGGGACACAGGCCATTTCCTTCAAGAATTATCTCCACACACCGTCTACAGAAAGAATGAAGACATGGCAATGTCTTCGACGCCAAGTTCAAAAATTGGTCGCATTTCAAGCATTGGAATGTCTCTTCTTCACTCACATTGAACGCCATTTAGAATTTTCTTCCGAAGATAAAATCAACCTGAAAAGAAAGAAAAGACAAAAAAGGTTAAAGTTCAAAGTTAGAAAAAGACGAAAAAAAAAGTCCATTTATAAAACAGAAAGAAAAATGACCCGAAATTTCGAGATTTTGCAAGAAAAACAAATCGATTTCCGGAAAGAAGATTGTTTTCTTCTAAAATCACAAATAAAAGAAGGGGAGGAGAAGTGGGGAGTCAATGAAATATCGAGAGTGTAGGGAACGGAGAGATGAGCAGTGCGAGAATGGGAAGGAAAAAAAGGATAAAGAAAACAGAGAGAAAGAGGGGGGGTGTTCAATTTTCCGCCTTCACAATCACATTTAACTCTGTTTTCATCAATTGTAATATTTTAAAATTTTAATACTTCTTGCTATTTTTTAAAACTTTTTTTGAAAAAGACACGTACAAGATGAAGACATTTTTATTACCACTTGCTAAGTTTGCTTTTATCTTCTTCGTTAATCATACACTAGTATGGCACAAGGCCAATAGAAACGGGAAAATTAAGCTCTACTTAAAGTGGTCCACTCATAAATTTGATAAAGAATGCTCCCATCTATTTAGTGCCAGGAAGTGAATTAAATTACGGTTTTCTCTCAATATGAATTCAGTTAAAAAACAAAGAAGAGAAAATCCAATAAAAAGCAGAATTTCTCGATGTTTTCATGAAACCTTTTTGAAAAGTTCGATTATTTGGAAATCGATAGAAAAATTCCGACTTGAGTTGAGATGCTTTGACGTCATAGGAGCCGAAGGCATTTCATTGGACGAGAATAACCACACCCTATCCGGGCTGAAGGGCATTAAATGAGATAATAAGGGAGGGAAAGTCAGAAAAGGTTAAGTGAAGGGGAAGAATGAGAAATAAGGGAGAAAAGAAAGCGTTGTATGAAAGAGAGAGAGAGAGAGAGAGAAAGGGGGATAGAACGACCGATAGACAGAGAGAAAGAAAGAAAGAAATTGTTTTATTCTTATAAAAACATGTCCGTTCATAAGAGAGAGAGAGAGAGGGGGGGGACTCTTTTTCTTTTAAGTAAACAGACAGACAGATCGACTGACGGAGAGATAGAAAGATAGATTTTCGTTAATGAAATAACTAACCTATATTAAGGAAAAGATAAATTTTACCCGTTTTTTCTTTTTAACAAGCGGACAAGAGAGAGGAGAGAGAGAAAAAGAAAGAGAAAGAGAGAGAAAGAAAGAGAGAGAGAAAGAAAGAGAGAGAGAGAAAGAAAGAGAGAGAGAGAAAGAGAGAGAGAAAGAGAGAGTTTTCGGAAGTATTTACAAGTATTTCACCAGTTTTTTTTTCTCTTTTAGGAAGCGGACCACTTTACTTAATTATTGTCTCGTCTTCCATTTTAACCCTACAAAGACCATTAAGGAAGTAGATAGGAAATCGGGGGTGGGGGTCAAAATAACTTATCGTCTGCTTTATTCAATAACAAATCAACAAGTTGAAGACAAAGAGAACATAAGTCAGACGAGAATTTTTTTATTAAAAAAGAAAAAATTTTTAGAAATTAAATTCATTTCTTTCGGGAGAAAGAGAGAGAGAGAGAGAGAGAGAGAGAAAAAAGAAAAGATGGATTTAATAAAGAGATGACACTTAATTGTGATTTTGAATTCTTCTGTCTTCACTTTGCAGCGAGACCAGTAAATAGAAATGAAGAGAGCCAAATATGTTTTTTTCTTTTTTCAGACTTAGAAACCCTTTTGCGTCGTAATGGCTTTCTTGCCTTCATTGGGGTGAAATGATTTAATAAAAGGAAAAAAGAAAAAGTCACGTTGTGTTCATGGAAACATTTAAGAAGGTAGGATGATTTCGAAAACAGTAAAATTCTTACACTTAATATTGATTTCATTTTGGGGGGTGAAAAGAAGCGAGACGGAAACAAAACACGTCTTGTCTGTCGAATCTTCTGAAACCAAACTGCAAAAGACGTCGGATGCATGGATGACGTCACCGGAATACAAGATAGATAATAAGTAAAACACGTATACAGGCTTTCTCGTATGTTTTCTTTTTTTAGTTGTGTGTGGAGTGTCCAGATAATTTTGTTGGAAAAATACAAGATGTGTCTGAGGTTTTCTTACCTACAATTGCTAAAAATGTATTTATCATGTCCTGGAAACGAAAATAAGATAAAATTTTCGTTGACGCACGTGTTAACGATCATTCCATGCGAACTACTTGTCTGATAGGGAAAATGCCAAGTGTTCATTAGACGTGAATAATCACGTCTCCTGGATACGAGAGTTTCTTTACGAGTTATAGACGAGAGAAAGGGAGAGAAAGAGAGAAGCAAAAGAGAAAACGGGTAATGATGAGAGAGTGAATTCTCTTTTCTTTTTTCTTTCAAATAACCCACGACATTTAATCATTTGAAAAATATTTCAACTCAAAAAAAAAAAAATTAAATTTGTGATAAATTTGAATAAAATCGAATTTCATTTCATCAAGAATCATATATATGTAAATTCGGGCGGTGGCCAGCAGCGTCAGAAACACTGTTCGTTTCACCCCGAAATACGAGGGCAAGACATTGTCACATGCGTATGCACGATCAATGGGCACGAGCTCTTCGGGAGCAAGACGAGCCGTCAACTCGCCCACATGGTCCCATGAGGGACGGACCCGGGGGCAATGGTAGAAAGGCGTGCGAAGCCGTTTCTTGTAAACCAAGGGTACGCCGTTCATAGTCTGGCAAATCTGCCAAGACCATTGTCATTGAGAGGCAGCCGATTCCGAGCCAATCGCCAGGTAAGCGAAAACTCAATGTTACTGAGATAATCCGCCGCTTGCGCCCAAGACCAGAAAGAGCGAAACTCCTCCTCCGACATGTCATGCCGCTCCGCCCCAACCGCAGAAAAAACGAGACCCGCTCCTTCCGGTCGTTGGGCACATAAACCGCAACGACTCGGAACGACAATATCGGCGACGATCAACCGGCCCTCGGCATCGGTATGGACAAGGTCCACCCTCGCATCAAGAGTACGTCTAACCAACAAAGAAACTCCTCTAGCCTGTCTTTCCCCCATATGCTGAATAAACGACAAAGTCGCTCTTCAGCACACACGCATTGACGTTGCAAACAAAGTGAGTCTCTTGGATCGCGGCGACATCCACGCCGAAAGACAAGAAGTCACGTAGCAGGCGGATCGCCTTACCCCGATCCCTCAAACCCTTCACATTCCCACAGGCGAACTTGATTGACATCGATTAAGCCTGCAAAAATAAGAGTAAGAAAAGCAAAAACCTACTCAGATACGGGACGGAAATCTGAATTAGTAAGCATCCCGACGGATTGTCCAAGGCTCCCTACACCTAGCTCTGACATCAATAGACCTTCTAGGACAATACCGCCGACACCCATGGGTTGAGGCTGGTCGACACTAACTATCCTATAAATAGCTAATCCGATTCACGACCCATTCACTCATTACAATTTCTACATTCACCATAAAAACTCGTCCGTCACCACTTGATCCTCCATACACCACAATACCGCATCCTCTCAAAGGAAGACCTACAAAACGCACCCCACGCCATAAAAATTATTATATATAAAAATCTAATAATGAAGAATGAGACGGGGGGGAGACGAACCCAATAATAAACTAAAAACCAAGACAAAGTAAACTAAACATAACTGATGTTAGTAGGGCCCGTCCAACCCTCAAAAAGGAGAGGCCGCTGTATTCTGCCCATTGGACAAAATCAAGAAACTCTCTCGCTAAGGGAGTGGGAAAAAGATAAAAACTATACGGCCATGGGAATATATAAATCTGGCTCAGTCGAGATAAAAGGGGCCATAAACAAACTGGGGAGGTTGGGAATCTCAACCTGAATAATAACCAAAAATGTGGCCGAGGACAGGCCGGGAACAACACTTACACACATTAACTAGGTACACAAGGCTTGTCTAACCTAACCAAGTGTAAGGCCCCACAGGAAACCACCCCGATGTGACATAGGTAGACCTAAAAAGAATCTCAATGCTAGCCCCGTTCAAAGCGAAAACTAATGGGGTAACTGAGATTATCCTCCGCTGGTGCCCAATACCAGTAAGAGCGAAACTCCCTCCTCCAACAAGCCGAGCTCCACAAGAAGGGAATCCTTTGCGACCTCCGCCACTAGAAGACGAGAGAACTTCCTAGGCCGTGAAATGTCACTGGACAGAGGAACAGCCAAAAAGTCCGAACGACACTCGAGTTGGAAATCCGATTGTTCCCGTGGTTTAGGACGGCGCTCAACCAGCGAGTTGGGGGATTGATCGCAAGGCGAGGGAACTCGTCCCTAATAATCCCCGCTATAATCGAATCTCTTGTCAATGCACGGAGTAGGAAAGCCAACCTCGAGGCGAGTTTGTGGCTCACCAAATGTGGCATTCCCAGCCCACCATGACACGGACGTTGTGTACAGACTTGTCTGTCGACCCGATTCCCGCGTCTACTCCATAAAATGGAGGTTAGCGAGCGCCTCGTGCGGCTTCCTATGGTCGTCACAGACAGGATGTACGGACAATCGGTAAAGAACAAGAAGGAAAATGTATGTAGCACACACTTCCGCCCTGCCCTTCACGGACAACCTCCGTCGACTCCAAGTCTGACCGGCAGCGTCGACCTTTGCTCGTACTTCAGGCCAATTTTTCTCCAGCTGGGGGTCGGGTACAAAACACACACCAAGAATGCGGACATGTCCTTCCGTCCAACCGAAGCGGCCCAGAAAATCGACCCCCTTTCAGGCACCTAACCGCAATCTTGGACCCTCTCACCTTTTTGTACCGACCAAGCGCATTCAGTACCGCCTCAATGTTGTTGCAGGACGACACGAAAGCAGATGCGTCATCGGCGTACTCAGAAACCCTGGCTAGAGCCCCTCCAGGAACGGCAATTCCGCGTAGAGCCGGACTGCACGCCCGGTCCTGCAGCCGACGAAGGAGAGGCTCCAACGCCAAAGCATAAAGTAGGGGCGACAGTGGACACCACTGACGAACCGACATAGACATCGCAAAAGCGCCCAACGGCTTCCCGTTCACCTGTACCACAGCATTGGGGGAGCGATACAGGAGGCTGAGCCAGCGGCAGAAGTAGGGTTCACATCCGGCGGCCTGCAGGACAGCAGCAAGGTTGTGATGGTCAACACTATCAAATACCAAGGTCTGATCCAAATTGATCAGCGCCGCCTCATCGTCGTCTTTTACACCCTCTATGATCGTGTGGATCAGATGCAGGTTGCTCTGAATTGTTCGGCTCATCACAGAACAAGTCTGCACAGGACCCAACAGAGGCACGGTAACCATCTGCAAACGTTTCTGCAGGATCTTGGCCAAAATCTTTAACTCTGTGTTTAGTAGAGTTATAGGCCTATAATCATCTAATCCCGCCCAACACCCTTGCCCTTTTTCAACAGCGTGATCACATCCCTGGACCCCGACCGGAACCAGTTATTGAACACTACAGTCAAAATCGGGACAAAGATGTACGACAGCCTCAAGTACATTTCATAGGACAAACCATCCGGACCGGGCGACTTGCCTCTGCCGACCTTCTTCCATGCCGGGTAGACCCGATTTTCTTCTCGCGATCATGAGAGCATTCTGTCTAAGGGGTTTACTCTTTATTCAGCGTGTTTTGATGGACGCTCGAGGGGTGTCTCTTGGCTGGTGAGCTTTGAAGGCTGCGTGTGCACTTGTCTTCGCAGATCCGGCGGGCAGACTTTGCATGCTGAATGTTACCATAAAGGATAACGCTCTGCCTCTCATTGGGCTTTATGTGCCCAATAACCATTCTGAGCGGCCTGCTTTGTTTCGGCAGATCGAGCCGTTCTTGACGACATCTCGTCGGGTAGTTTTAGCGGGGTATTGGAATGCCGTCCTTGACCCCGATTTAGATCGTATAGGGCAAAATTCGGCTACTAACAACCGAGACATAAAACCATTTCGGGACTTTATCGACAGATTTGATCTTGTCGATAAGTACCGGAATGAGCACCCTCGGGCGATAGTTTGGACTTGGGCAAGTAGCGGCAACTCGGCACCTGGAACGCTTGCTAGCTACTTGGACCGATTCTTAGTTAGAGGAGTCGATGTAGGTCTCTTAGAGTGTCCAAATTTCCATTATATAGTTTATTCGGGTCCGGGTAAATTTAGACAAGTCTAAGGTCAGGTTGGCTGGCTACCGGAAATTACGCTGTTCATTGTTTGGTGAGCAAGATTTCCGGGACCAGCTGCTACTAATGATGCAAAGGGAGTTGACGGGGGCGGTTGTAGGGAACGCCTGGGGGGATAAATTAAAATTCAAAATTAGA